TATAGAAAACTAGTAATTTCACCGAAGAATATAAAAATTTATGTAGTTCACTTGATACGAAAGTTATGCGCGCTTAAAACCGTAATTTTCATGTTATTTTCCCAAATAACACTAACCCCACAAACATTCGATCTAAATCACTAGCACCCAAAAGTTGAATGTCAAGTTACAATAATCTTTCTAACCCAAAACATTGATCCTCAAAAACTCAAATTTTATCTTTCTAATATGAGATTAAGATATTAAGGATACACTCCAACCTTATTTTTGTATATAGAAACATAGTATGTAAATTAGTATACAAGTAAACACCCATTCTACTTAAAAATGTCACATTGTCAGAATTTCTGGAAAAAGTTAAGACATACTCCATAACCTATGCAAATAATGATATATAGGCTCAGCATTAAGAGAAAAGCTTGAATTCAATACACTAGAGTTATAAAGATAAGAGACCTGAGAAAGTTGAGGTATAAAATTTGGAAATTCAGGTGTGCTATTGCCGAACTCGCCAAATGTAAGAGCTATAATAACAGCAGCCAACAGATTAGTCATAGTATAATCAAGATATGTATGCTGAGGAAGGCGGCCTCTTCTTTCTAGGAGAGTCATAATTGCAGGCCATGTACCCAAGAAAAGTAGGGCAAGCACCATACATCCTATGGCACCTCCTTTACTTTCAACCAGAAACATTCTCAACCCAACAGAGCTAAAAATCCTCTCTGTTGGTCGAAGAATCAAAGATGGAAAACCTGAAAATTCCTGCATAGAAAAACAGATTATCAGACTTAATCAAAAATGAATTTACTAAATATTTCAAGATCTTGAAAACACTGATTTTAGCCAAGTAAAGAGTAAATCGCAGAAGAAAGAAAAAGATGAGATTCACAGAAAACTGAATATTTAGCATAGCAAAGTGAACTCCTATTGCAACAAAAGGTTAAAAGAAAAGAAAAAAGAAGACAAAGGGCCCAAATGTTATTCAAGATCAATCACTCACCATGTTTTCAAGAAAAACACAAATCCAACTTTACAGTAAAAAAGCAAAGACTTCACTGCAAATCAGTTAGTCTGACATAATACAGATGTCTATATATACATATATATATATATGCATATATCACTGTGGAGAAAGAATGATCATCTGAAATAGGGCTTTTTAATGGGGGTGCCCCCACAGTAAGTCCTCGCT